TTAGAGCATTTTATATCCATTATTTTATTAACAAAACATGAAAGTTTCAATTCATTGAAATAAGTCATTCTATATTTCTTCGACGAATTTCTACAGTTTTTACTTGAAAAGTCTCTCTGTTTAGGGTTTTGTTCCGTTCTGATCACTGATGTTTTTGTCTACTTTCAGAAAAAGCTGATTGACATTCTCCATCGTGCTCATAGCTTTTTCGCACACCTTTGCATGTGCGAGGTTAGCTTCTTTCGCTTTGTCTACTTTCCTCTTCTTCTGAGCAGAAGGTTCGATACTCTCGTCTTTGCTAGGAGATGAATCAGTAAAAGGTTCGATACTCTCTTCTTCGCTAGGAGATGAATCAGCAAAATTCTGATCCAGCCTTACCTTGAGGGCTTCAGCCCTTCTCTCATCTGGTGGCATTTTTCTTGAATATCTTGTTTGATTTGAAAATAGAAATTGTTTCTCCGTTCCTATCTCTCCTGACTCGGGGCCATAGGGCTGCTGCATAGCACTTTTTATTATGTTTTGCAAACAGCAATATCCAGGCGACTATATTTAAAAGGACTACTCGGACTTGCTGCGCATCCATGCTGCATGAACTGCTGAGCGAAAGAGGCTAACCTCGCACATGCAAAGATGTGCGAAAAAGCTATCAGCACGATGGAGAATGTTAATCAGCTTTTGCTGAAAGTAGACAAATACATCAGTGATCAGAACAGAACAAAACCCTAAACAGAGAGACTTTTCAAGTAAAAACTGTAGAAATTCGTCGAGGAAATGTAGAATGATTTATTTGAATGAATTGAAACTTTCATGTTTTGTTAATAAGATAATGGATATAAAATGCTCTAATTTCCCTATAACGTCAAACAGTTGTGCAGTGTTTCCAATTCGTGTCTTTTTTAATTAGTTTTTGTATTTGAATATTAGCAGACCTCATTAGCATGCTAAAGTGTGATATACGAATTCGCTCTAATGACTGTGAATAGAAAAGGCTCTAGCGCCATATGTTTGTAAGCTGAACGTAGAGAACGTGATAGAACGTAAGGAGAAATTAGATCAATAATATTAAGTAGGCGCATTGCCATTAATTGCCTTGAAGACAAAAAGAGGAATCTCATACTTAATGCAACGCAGGCTAGGGAACGCCCTGCTGCGCTCGGTCCGTAGTGCCTAAATTTATATATTATTCTTTTAAAGRAAAAAATTCAAAAAGAAAAGGAGTTTCTGGCTGCCTGGACCTTGGGCTTTGTTTCAGGCAATGCTAAAAAGGCAATCAAAAGCATATTTCATRTCAGTGTGAAAACTGCAGTGGTTTACCTTTTGGTCCAGTGAAAGTAATGACAACTTTTGGTCTTTTTCTTGTAAAAATACCAGCATGTCTTCTAAAATAACCACTAAACTCTCTGTGAAGACATAGAACGAACAAATGAAATTCAATTATATTCTTGGTTAAATGCCCAAGAAAAGTTATCTAGCTTCTTCTGCTAATGCGCCGCCTCTCGCCAATGCGGCCCGAATTCAAGTCCTGCCGATCTCGATGTCGTATGTGAGTAGAGTTGTTTGTTGGTTCTCTCCTGTGCTTCGAGGGTTTTTCTCCGGGTTCTCCGGTTTTCCTCCCTCCTCAAAAATCAACTCCTAAATTCTAATTCGATCTTTGGGCTTAGCTCTTTGAGCCTAGCTCTGTTGTGATTGTCCCACGCTGTGATACGACAGCGAAAAGCTTTGTAGATTTTTTTTTTAGAAAGAACACTTACCAGTTAACTTTCCACGCGCAGTTTTCCAAAACAACATGCCATGATAACGAAGTGTGCTGGTGTTGGAAGCAAAGTCGATGTTCTGTGAATAAAAAAACATGTACTCATCAATAAGTACATATTTAATGACACAGATTATTCTTTTCTTTACCATGACCTCCTTGCCATCTTTGTACGTTATAACCGTTTTCAGATCCATCCTCATTCTTATATCTTGGAGCGTCTAAAATAAACGACAAAACCAAATAAACCAACAAGAAACTATAACAGACGTGTGTAAAATATACTGGCATGTTTACCTTCTGTTTTTCGTATTCTTTTATTGCATCATCCACAGCATGCAGGACCCCCTAATAGCAATAATAGGAAACGAGACTGGTGAAAATCCTTTTTACACATAATATTCGTCAAGCAAACTCGTATGACGATGGTCAAGAAATCACAGGAATGTTACATCACGACCTAGGTACAACAAATGAGCGGAGATCCCGCACCAGTTTGTCTCTGAAAGGCCGTGACTTGCAATTATTAGAAAGCTACTCTATTCTTTGTCTACTATGTATCACTGTTATTATACCATATTATCATTGTATACTACGGCATGTCCTAGAACCTGGACTGGACTCTGGACTGCACTCTGGACTGGACTCTGTGCTTTCCATCTTGGACTGGACTCCCAGTTCTCTTCTCTTCAATACTTATAAACATTTAAGGCTATATCATTTATGTTCGGGGTGCGTGCGTGCGTGCGTGCGTGTGTGTGTGTGTGTGTGTGTGTGTGTCTGGCCGGAAGCGAAAATCTCAAGTGACATGGCTGGGAATTATAAGTTGTCAATCCTGACAGTTTGCTGTTTATTCATGACTCCCATGTTATCAGAGCCCAAAAGCAAAGAAATTTCTGCTCCTTTCTTGACATAATATATTTAAAAAAAAAAAAGTTTTACTAAATTTAAAGTGGGGATTTCTACATGTTTCTACGAAAAAAACCGCTGAAGATTGAATGACAGATAACTGAGGCAAAGAGAGCTACAAAACTAGCTAAAATTTATCGGGAAAAAAA